CGGTGCCCCGGCTGGCAGGGACGCCCCGGGGCTGCTTCTGCTTCCTGCTTTTGCAGCGGGCAAGCGGGGTGGCAACCTGAGCCCTGCGGGGAGCCCATCGGCTCCCGGTGCCCGAGCTGGGGTGCAAGGCACCCCCTGTGCACTGAGGGTGACAGCAGGGCACAGGGGTCCTGGCACCCCCCTGCAGTGACACCCCCCCCTACACCCCCCCCTCCCCCCCAGGGCTAGGTGGGCAGTAGAGCCCCTGCCCTGTTTATTTGCCTTTTGAGCGTGCCCCCCTGAGCTGCCCATTCCCAGGGGGCCTTCAGGCCTGATCCTGGCACGGCAGGAGGATGGAGGTGCCCTGAGGTGGGGGGCACCGTCTGGGCTGGTCCCAGGTGCTGCTGTGGGTGGGAGGTGGCAGCACCCCCGGGGTGGGGACATCCCCACCCTGGCAGAGAAGGGAATGGCGTGTTTGGGGGAGCTGTGGGCATAGGGATGGGAGCACCCCAGGTGGGGTCTGGGGGTTGGTTGTGCCCAGGGACCCTGTCTGGGGGGTGGTCCATGCCCAGCTAACAGGCATGCCGGCCTCTCCCTCAACCTTGGCAGGGTTTGTGGTGGGCCATGCCGGGTTGTACCAAGCTCTGGCCATGTTTGCGGTGGCATATTTCATCATCGGCATGACGGTGCTGTCTGTGTGTGCCATCGCTACCAACGGGGCACTGGATGCTGGAGGAGCCTACTGTATCTTTTGCTGTGGGTGCTGTCGGGGCAGGGCATGTGGGTCAAAACTGGGTGACCCCCAGCAGCCTTAGGGTCCTGCACTGCGTCTGTGATCCCCTTGGCCTGTGAGGGAGGGGTGGGGGCACTTGGTGGTGGTTTGGGCTGCTGGCATCTTCCCTTGACTCGAACAAGATATGATCAGCCGTGCCCTGGGCCCGGAGTTCGGGGGCAGTATCGGAATCATGTTTTTCCTGGCCAACGTGTGTGGCAGTGCCCTCTACGTGCTGGGGCTGGTGGAGGCAGTGGTGGACAGCTTTGGGATCCCGCCTGGTGAGTACCCCCGTGTGTGGTGACAGCGGGTGTCCCTTACCTAAGTAGCCTGAGTGCCCTGTCAGGCTCGCCAAGCACCATGCCTGGCATAGCCAGCACGGCTTGCCCAGCCCTCTGGCCAGTGAGCTGGTGCCCGTCATGCCTGGCATAACACTGGTGGCTCTCAGCTCCTGTTGATGCCCCCTCTGAGCCCCACTGATACTGGCTTGTCTCTGCCCAGGGCAAAAAGCAGGCTCAGGTGTCCACGTCCTGCCTCAGAGCTACTGGTACGAGCTGCTCTACGGCACCGTGCTACTGGCCCTCTGCCTCCTCGTGTGCCTCGTGGGTGCCTCCATCTACGCCAAGGCCACCTTCCTCATCTTCCTCATTGTTGCGGGTGTCCTGGGCACCATCCTTGTCAGTTTCTTCGCCACACGGCCCATTGGGGTGCCCATTCGCCTGCCCCACTTCAACGGCTCCGAGACTGAGAATGGCACCTTCACCGGCTTCTCCCTCGCCACCCTGCGAGACAACCTGGGCGGTGAGGAACTGCTCTCCCCACCATGCTCACTGTACCCACCGTGGCACCCGTGCCCCAGAGAGGGCTGGCGCTGACACCTCCACATCAGCAAGGGGTTCACCAGAGGGTGGGGAGAGCTTGTGGGCACAAAGTGCATGCTCTGGGGTGGTTTCTCCTATGGTTTGGGTATGGGGACATTGAGGAGAGAATATATGGTGGGGCTGTACCACCCTGAACAGCCTGTCACAGCCTGTGCCCCTGTGTCCTGCAGGTGGGTATGCTGTGGACTACACCACTGGGCAGATGATGAGCTTCAGCTCTGTCTTCGCAGTGATGTTCAATGGCTGCACCGGCATCATGGCGGGCTCCAACATGTCAGGTACGAGCAGGAGGTGCTGGGCTGGGTGGCACTGGGAGCAGGAGCCGAGGCTGGAGAAGGGCAAGGGGGTGCTGTGCCTGTGGGTGCTAATGCTGCCTGCTCCTGCCCGTAGGGGACCTGAAGCGCCCAAGCTACTCCATCCCACGGGGCACCATCTCTGCCGTGCTCTTCACCTACCTCGTCTACAATCTGCTGGCTTTCCTCATGTGTGCCACCTGCAACAGGTACAGCCACCCGGCCCCTTGCTGGGGCCATTGCTGCCAGGGTGTGCCTGGTGCCAGAGCACTCTTGCCTGAGCTGAGATGGTTGCCAGAGTGTGCATGTCCCTTTCCAGGACCTTGCTGCAGAAAGACTACGGCTTCCTGCGTGACATCAGTATCTTCCCACCCTTGGTCACTGTGGGCATCTATGCTGCCACCCTCTCTGCGGCCATGAGTAACCTCATTGGGGCATCCCGCATCCTCTACGCTCTGGCCCGGGATGATCTCTTCGGTGAGTACCCTGAGCATGCTGGCACACTCCCGAGCCCATCTGGCAGGTTGTCCCTGCCAAGGACCAGCCCTGCCACCATGGTACCCCTTTTCTGGTCTGGGGTGATGCTTTGTGCATTGGCATGTGCCCATTTGGGTCACCTGCAAGCCCTGGTGTTTGCCCCCACCCCAGCACTCAGGGTGGGGACAGGACTCCTGGCTGGTGGCTGAGCCTGTTGATGCTCACTGGGTGCCCCAGCCCAACCTCCCTGCTTTGCCCACAGGCCGGGCGCTGGCGCTGGCCAAGAAGACGTCTGCGAGTGGGAACCCTGTGATGGCAGTGATCCTCTCCTGGCTGGTGGTGCAGGTGAGTTTGCTGGTGATGCTGCTTTCCTAGTCCCACCACGTGAAGGTGGGTTGACACCTGGGCTGGGTGTTGCAGAGCCCAGCAAGTCCTCCTGCCCATGGGTACCCTACCTGCCCTGGGTGTCCTCTTATGGCTGTGTCCATCCTTTCCTGAGCCATAAATGAAGGATCACAAGGGGCAGGGATTTGTGCCCACATGGCACTGCTTTTATGCTTTCCACGCACAAACTTGGGCACATGCCAGGGGTGCCATCCTGGGGGGTGCATTCATCTTGTGCCCTCTCATGCTCTTTGCAGCTAGTGCTCTTCTCCGGGAAGCTCAACACCATCGCGGGGGTCGTGACCACCTTCTTCCTCCTGGTTTATGCCACCGTCAACCTAGCCTGCCTGGCACTGGAGTGGGCATCAGCCCCCAACTTCAGGTACCTGTTGGCACCAGGGAGGGGCAGAGATGCTGAGCACCCCTCTCCTGGGCTTTAAGGAGGGCAAAGACACCCCCATCCCTTGGGAGGGAGAAGGGGCCAGGTCCTGGCGTGGCACTGGCTTGTCACAGTCCCCACGCCCTGGCCTTGCTTTCCTGAGTGGGTAGAGATAAATCCAGCACCACTGGCTACCACTCGCCCCCTCCCCTTAGGCTTTCCGGAGATAATTTATAGCCTCTGCCCGCCCGGCATCCCCCAGGCAGCTTGCCAAGCGGTGATGGAGCCCACTTTCCATTAGCGCTAATTAAACTAACAGGGAAGGGGGAGGGAGGGGGATCCTAGGTGGGGGGAGGAGAAGATCTTCCAGGAAGGAGAAGTGTGTGTGGCAGGCAGCCCCAGCCTGGGGCGGGAGGTACCCTGGCATGGGGCTGGCCTGGTAGGGCTGTCCAAATCTGGGGGGGCACAGCAGGGTGGCTGGGGGGAACCTGATCTTTCTCCTGGGTGATAACCTGCCAGGCTCAGTGCAGGGTGCTGTGCCTCTGGAGCAGGGAGAGTCCCCGAGGTGGGACAGAGGCAGTACCCGAGCATGGCTGGGTGGCACTGCCTGGAGGTCCCACAGAGTGCCCGATTCCCAAGGGAGAGCTGCTGTCTGTGCCAGGCTGGGGCTTGGCTCCTGCCTTCTGCCTTGGCCGGGCACGGATGGGGCAGGATGGGTGCCTGGGGTGGTGGGAGGCTGCTGGGGTGGGTGGTGATGGTCCCCTCCCCCACCCCACATCTGGTGCTGCCCCTCCCCACACTGAGGTCCCCATCAAGCGCAGCGGAAAAGGATTTTAATTACCTTTCAGGAAAAACAACAATTAGAGAAAATAACAGCTTCTTGCCTCCCCGCCTCCGCCTCCCTGCGCCAGGCTGAGTAGGTGCGGCGGCCGCCGGCACTGCCACGCGCTGCCTGACACTACCTGCCCCCCCGACTGTGCCAGCGCAGCCACAGCCCCGTAGCCATCATTACCCCTGTTTGCCAGGGGCTGGCAGCAAGGGGGCTGCTTGGTGCCCTGGGAGGTACCATCTCCCCTCTGCCCGGTCCCACAGGCATCTGGGGTGCTCAACGTTCCCTGGGCTGGCACAGCAGAGTTCACTGGGCATGGCTGGTTGGCACCTTGGCACAGTCCCTCTTGCCGTGCCTGCCCTTCAGCTCGCCATGGTGTCTCCTTCTCCTTGCTGCAGGCCCACCTTTCGATACTTCACCTGGCACACGTGCCTGCTGGGCATTGCGGGCTGCTGTGTCATGATGTTCCTCATCAGCCCTGTGTCAGCCTCAGCGAGCCTGGGCTTCCTTCTCCTCCTCCTCCTCGCTCTCCACTACCTCTCACCCAGTAGCACCTGGGGCTACATCAGCCAGGCCCTCATCTTCCACCAGGTGAGCCCCATCCTCTTCTGCTGTCCCCTCATGGGGCACAGAGATGGTGTCCCCAAGATGGTGCCACCATGGCAGCTCCATCCTGGGCAGCATGTCCTCAGGGCTGGCCGTCTCCGTGGGTAGTTTGTTGAAAGAAGGAGGGTTCCTCACCTGCTGCCCTCCTTCCTTCCCTCTGTCCCTCCAGGTGCGGAAGTACCTGCTGATGCTGGATGTGCGGAAGGACCACGTCAAGTTCTGGCGCCCGCAGATGCTGCTGATGGTGCAGAACCCGCGGAGCAGTGCCCGCCTCATCGACTTTGTCAACGACCTCAAGAAGAGTGGACTCTATGTCCTGGGCCACGTTGAGCTGCAGGACTTGGGTGAGGACCTACACTGTCCCTAGCGCTGGTGGCCTCCGCCCCTTGCTGCGGTGCTGTGGGGCACCTGGAGTCCTTGGGGTGATGCTGCTGCCCAGCTCCTGACTGGGCAGGGTGGGCACAGCAAGGGAATGTCAGCATTTTGGGCACATGTGGCACCTTGGGTTTGTCTTGGTGTGGGACACAAAAGTGGCTTGTGTGTCCCCCACATCTCCTGTGCACCTGTGCTCGCACATGCGTGTGCTCAGGTATTCATCCCTACATGTGCACATGGGGCTCCTGCACGTCTCGGTGCTGGTGTGCACACATGGCACATGCCACCCAGGCTCCTCTGGGCCCCTGTGCAGCATGGTCACATTGCATGTGACAACACCTGTGCACACCCAGCACACACGTGGGCACACACTCAGCACAGCCTTACACACGCGGGTGCCTGTGGCATCCTCACCTCATGCCTGCTGCTGTGCGTTGACATCCTTCAGGCGTGTTTGCACCCTGGTGTGTGTTGGTTTGCACACATGTGCTCCCTGTCACATGCCGTGGCCGTCCCCATCCCAGCAGATACATGGGCTTTGCTCCCCCCTCTCCCGTTGCCATGGTGACTAATGGCCTGAAATTGGGGAGGGGGGATGGGGCTGCCTGGGTATTTTTCATATACTTATGTATAATTTCCTATCTCAGGCTGGAAGCACCTGCTTCCACCCTCCTTGTCTTGTGGGTGCTGGGGTGGGTACAGGGGTTGGCATGGGTTTTGCAGGGGGAGTGCTGCAAGGACAGCGGGGTGAATCCCCAGTATGGGGTACCTGATCCCCTGATGATCTTCTTGCTCCCCGCTCAGACACGCTGCCTTCGGACCCGCTGCAGCCCCAGCAGGACTCGTGGCTGAGCTTGGTGGACAAGCTGAATGTCAAGGCCTTCGTCAGCCTCACCCTTGCACCCTCGGTGCGGCACGGTGTCCGGCAGCTCCTCTTCACCTCTGGCCTTGGTGAGTGGGACCTGGGCTGGGTGTGGGTAAGGGTCCACCCTGCTACCCCAGTGGAGTGAGAAGTGCCAAGGAGTTTTGGAGGCATCTGGATGGGTGGTGCCAAAGCTGAGGTGGGGCTTGGAGGCATCTGGGGTGAGTGATGCTGAAGCTAAGTTGGGACTTGGAGGCATCTTTGTTGGCAATGTTGAGAGGCTTGAAGACACCTGGATGGGCAACACCAAGGGGCTTGGAGGTGCCCAGTGTGGGCAGTGCCAAAGCCAAACTGGAGTTTGGAGAGGTGTTGGGTGGGCAAGGCCAAGTTGAATCTTGGAGGCATCTCAGTGTGTGATGCTGAAGGGTCTGGAAGTGACCATGGTGAGCAATGCCAAAGCCAAGCTGGGGCTCTTTGTCACCTGCAGTGCCAACATTTGCTCAGCTGGGTTGTTGTGGTCTCTCTGGCAGGTGGCATGCGCCCCAACACCCTGGTGCTGGGCTTCTACGACGACGCAGCACCACAGGACGGTCTAGCCCGGCATCCTGCCTTCACCAGCACCCGCGAGGAGGTCCCTCTGGGCTTCCCCCCTCTGCGGGAACCCACCGACCCCAAACTGCTGTCGGCCCGGGAGTATGTGGGCATCGTGGCTGACGCCCTGAAGATGCTTCGCAATGTCCTGCTGGCCCGGCAGCTGGAGAGCCTGGACAAGGCCTGGGAGCTGCGGCGGGCTGCCAGCCCCCCGCCCACCATCCACGTCTGGCCCGTCAACCTGCTGCGGCCCGACAGCGCCCGCTACGCCGACACCTGCAGCCTCTTCCTGCTGCAGATGGCCTGCGTCCTCAACATGGCGCGGGCCTGGCGCCGGGCCCGCCTGCGCCTCTTCCTCTGCGTGGAGGCGGGCGCCATGCCCCATGCCCAGGAGGAGAAGCTGCGCCAGCTCCTCAAGGACTTGCGCATCCAGGCCCAGATCCAGCTGGTGCCCTGGGACGCCGTCACCCGCCTGCACTGGCAAACCCGCCAGGGACCCCCGGGGGGGCCGGCGGCGGGGGAGGAGGAAGAGGAAGAGGAGGAAGAGGCGGTGAACTTCCCGGCCAATGCCACCCAAGTGTCAGATGAGTATGTCTGTGCCGCCAACAAACTCGTCCTGGAGCAGAGCCCCGCGCCGGCCGTGCGTTTCCTCTACCTGCCGCGGCCGCCGGCTGACACCAGCCTCTACCCGCTCTACCTGCACCAGCTGGAGCTGCTCACCCGCGGGCTGGGCCCCACCGTGCTGGTGCACGGGGTGAGTGCCGTCACCAGCACCCAGCTCTAGGCCACCCCCCCTCCCCATGTCCTCTCCCCCCACTCCCCGGTTCCCTGCACCCTCCTTCGCCCAGTGCCTTTAGCAGCCCGAGCCTGGGGATGGCCCCATCCCCGCTGTCCCCAGGCTGTTGGGCAGGGAGGGGTCGGTGCCCCATGCTGGGAGGTGGGTGCAGGTTGTTATTTTGGGGGGAAGGTGTCTCTTGCACAGGCTTAAAGCTGCCCTGGCAGGATCCGGGCACAGCATTCACGGTGCCTTTTCTTTGGGGTGGTGGGGAGATAGCAGGGTCCCAGGCCTGACCAAGCACTAGGTGCCCTAGTTGGCTAGTGGCAACCCCCAGCTGGCTACTGGGAGCCCCTTGGTTGCACCCTGCACCCCCCACCCCCGCCATGCTTCCCCCATACTGCGGCCCCCAGCCTCTCCTCCGCCGGCTCCTCCGGGCACCCAGCCAGGAGCGGGGATTGATTAAAGGCAGCCTCGACCTTGGTGCCCCGGCTCCCCGCCATCCTCCCTGCCTTTCATTAGGAAAAATTAAATGGGAAGAGGTGGGGGAGGGGAAGCCCGGATGCCTGGGTTCCCTGTGTGAGGCTGGAGGTGGGGGGAACTGGCCTTAATGGCTATAGGGTACGGCACCCCAGGTCTTCCTCGGCACCCCCAGTGCTTCTGGGTGGGGACACCCACCTGCTTTAACCTGTAGCACCCCCCTCAATGGGGTTGATCCCCTGGTCCTGCCAGGGAGGAGGAAAAATATATAGGGGTGGGGGGTTGGCCTTGCTCTGCGCCCAGTGCTGTGGGGCATCCCCACACCCATCATGACCTGCATGGGGGAGCTGGCATTTCCCCCTTCCCTCCTCCTTTATTGATTAGGGCAGGACAGGAAATTGCCTGGGTGCTGGGTGATAAATCCATCGGGTGCCTGGCAGGTGGGCAGCTTGCCCGGGCCCTGCCTGATGGATCGCCTCCTATTAGCCTGGGCATTGGTGGGGGGGGTGCTCTGGGCCAGTCTGGGCTCTGGTGTGGGGGGGACAAGTGTGGCAATGCCTCCTGCTCCTGTTCTCACCAAGCCTGGCACTGCCAGCTGGCAGCTCTGCTCGACTGGAGAGCTGCAGGAGGGGGGAATATAAGAGGGGGGACCCTTGCTCCCCACCTTTTGTAGCGGGTCATGCCTGAATTTGTGCCTAAATTCCCACCTGAGGGCTGGGCAGGGGGCTGGGGCTGGCTTTGCTCCCTGCCATGGGAGGTGGGTGCCCTGGGTTGGAGACTGTGTGGCCCATGGGGTTTATTTACAAACAGGCGGGAGCTGGCACAGGGCAGCCGGGCACCAGCGGGACCCGGCGGCCTATAATGTTAATTATCACCACGTAATTAAAAGCCCATAAAAAGCCTCACACTTCATTAAATTAAAGCTTCCCTGCACCGTGCCGACGGGCTCCGGCAGAGTTAACCTTGGCCGTGCCAGGCACCAGCTCCACCGTAGCTGGGGACCTGTGGCCAGAGGTGTATGGGAGCCCTAGCCAGGGCTGTACAGTCTTCTATGGTATTG